CCCACCGGGAGAAGGCCCAGAGGAAGACCCAGGACCCGCTGGAGGGACTATGTGTCCCGGCTGGCCTGGGAACGCCTCGGGATCCCCCCGGAGGAGCTGGCCGAAGTGGCCGGGGAGAGGGAAGTCTGGATTTCCCTGCTCCGGCTGCTGCCCCCGCGACCCGACCCCGGATAAGCGGAGGAGAATGGATGGATGGATGGAAATGTGATTTGTTTTCTTCCGTTTGGCTCCACCCCCAAAGTTCCGCTAATAAATCTAAGCTGAAGACACTCTACTGCTGGTGTGTTGTGATTCTTTTCCAGACAGAAACACAAATATTACTCCGGTTTTAGCCGGTTCTGAGGGGAGGCTTTTTCCTGCTGCACAGACAAACACAACCTTTTTTTTTTTAACAAAATTTTTATTATTTTTTCTGAAATAATACAGTGTGGTTCAAATGTATTAATTGTAATAAAAAAATTACATTTTTAAACATAAAAAACAACCAAACACAAACACAGGGTGATTACAAGAGTGTGAGAAAAAACAAAACAAAAAAAAAACATCATTGCATAATTAGTGGAACAACAGGTCTCCAACGTTTATTGAATATGGGTGTTTGTAGTCTCAGGGAGTATGTTATATATTCCATTTGGTATATGTCCCAGACCTTCTGGATCCATATATTATAGCAAGGAGGCTCAGGTTTTAGCCGTCTGATAGTGATGCATTTTAGAGCCGCTGTTAATAATATGTTCAAAATATATTTTCCATCCCGTGTAGCAATAGCTTTAGGTGTTACTCCCAATAGGGAAATGACTATATTGAATGGGATTTCCTGTTTAAAGATTACTTTTATGGCATCAAAAATGTCCTTCCAAAACTGATGTAATTTGGGGCATTGCCAGAATCTGTGTGTGTGATTAGCATTGTCAGTTCCACATTTTCTCCAACATAATCCTACGTATATCGGTCCCATTTTAGCCGATATAGCTGGTGCTCTAAAGAATCTAGTTACAACTTTTCATTTGAATTCTCGCCAGGTGTTTGAATTTGTGACAAGGTGTGACTCCGTACATATTTCCTCCCAAGTCTGGTCTGATATGTTCATCGAGGTCTCTGCTTCCCATCTTTGTTTAATATTTAGCGAGTTACAAGTACTTAGAGACAGAAATATATCATACAGTTTACCAATAACAAACCCGACCTTTAACCTTAAACCTGCTAACTGAGGCTTGGCAGGTCTGAGATGTGTCTTTATCTCTAACAGCTCTCCCTGTGGAACAAACAATGCTCTCCAGATTGTTTGGGAGTGGTCTGAAAACTATACCAATGAACTCAGTTTTCACACACTGCTTCAGCCTCTTTTTTTGTTTTATTAATATATAAAATATCCGACTGTATTTACCTCATTTTTAAGTCCTTCTAGTAACTAGAAAATTGTATTTCTAATGTTGTAGGACCGACAAACGCTCACTAGATGGCAGCAGAAGACCACAAATGAAACTGAGGGTCACGCTTCAGTCTTCAGAAACAGACCTCCTGTTTTAATATTCAGGAATTACAGACAGTTTAAAGATTAACAGGACGGGGAAAAGCTGTAATAGATGCTGCTTTGCTGTAAATAAAATGTGTGAGATCTTAACTAATGTTTCGGCCTCTCTATGCCTTTCAAACTAAAAGGTTTGTAGACATGTCAACATAACCACCTTTAATTAAGACTCTTATTTAAATAATGGCTTTATTTGACAAATCTGGTCAAAGCTTTTTGATGATCTTCGTACTGTAGAAACGGTTCTATAGTCGAATAGTGTTAGACAACATGGAATACCCATTTTTGACAGTTTAAACTGTAAGTTAGATGTTTTGGAATATACATCATTTCTTCAGCCCGGCGAGCAGCAACTAAATACGATGCGTGTTCTCCCTCTGAACAGGGAACCTGTTTCACAAGCCCTTTTTAGGACTGGGATATCTATAATGCCAAATGTGTCATATCTGATCCGGTTTCTTTTGGATGTGAGACTTTCTGCATCATTCAGTGGTAAAAGCTTTGCTCAAACCCCTGTTGTACACATTCAGATATACCTGATAACAGCCAGTAGAAGACTACACCAACATATATTTTTGACTTATTGCACGCTAATTTGATCAAAATCATTTCTGTTTTTTTCCTTCATATGTTGTTGAGGGGCCAAAGAAAGACTTCAGACTAAAATAATCCAATATTCTTTCTATTTTTCTTGGATCAGGCTTTAAAGGGTTAATCAAAATGAACCTGGGTCCAAAGTTTTTACCATTAAATTATGCAAAAGGTGTCAGACGCAAAACATTTCAGAAACCGTATGGATCAAATATCATATAATAATAATATCAATATGGGTTAAGCAGTATACACACTTTTTATCAAACAAAATTCCATTGCTTCAAAGGATTTTATTCGAGATAAAACAGTTAAGTATGTTACAGCTTGGCACTTTGTGACATTAAACAATTAGTATGCCATGTGACAGCTATCACGATTATCTTAGATGTTAATAGAAAATTCAGGAATTAGCCTTTCACCACCATTTTATCTTGAAATAAATATTCAAACGGCACCTAAATGCACCAGGTGGGTTGCTTTCTTTTTAGAAGTAGATGCAGTTAGATAATAAAATATATTAGATTTTCTGAAAGGCCATCAGTAAATGCTGAATTAAGTAAAATATCAAACTACTGGTTGATTGATTATCATTTCTCTAAAATGGAAGCAAAAATAAATAAGGAATACTTTGTGAATAGGGCAATTGACTATATGCCCTGTAAGAAAAATAAGGTGCCTGAAATCAAAGATAACTCTCTCACACACACACACATACACACACACAAATGACCTGAGTTCATAAGGGCTCATATTATGGGCATATTCATATATATTTTCAAACTGAAGGTAAATTCTCGAGACTGTTCCAGCATCATCCCATTTGGGGTTGCACATTTTTCTTAATATATGTGTTTTTTGCAAAATAATCTTTGACGATCATCACAGCTAAATGGTTTTTCTTCTCGTGGACTTTCAGGTGTGTCTTAAGGTGAGTCTTTGTGTTGAATTTTTTGCCACAATCATCACACGCACAGGGTTTCTCCCTAGTGTGGACTCTAACGTGGGCTTTAAGATTGGAGATTTGGTTAAATCTTTTCCCACAGAAGTCACAGCTAAATGGCTTCTCTCCTGTGTGGACTCTCATGTGGGACTTCAGGTTAGCACTTTGGTTAAATCTTTTTCCACAGTCTTTGCAAGCGTACGGTTTCTCACCAGTGTGCACTCTCATGTGACTTAGAAGAGTTCTTTGCACACTAAATCTTTTACCACAAATATCACAGTGGAACAGTTTCTCACCTGTGTGGACTCTCATGTGAGTTTTTAGTAGAGTGTTTCTACTTAGCCTTTTACCACAAACATGGCAGCTAAATGGTTTCTCTCCTGTGTGGACTCTCATGTGTGTCTTCAGGTGTTCATTTCGACTAAATTTCTTCCCACAAACTTCACAGTCAAATGGTTTTTCACCTGTGTGGACTCGTGCATGTATCATTAGATGGGCCTTTTTGTTAAATTTTTTCCCACAGTCATTACAGGTGTACGGTTTCTCTCCAGTATGGACTCTCGTGTGATTTGATAGAGTTCCCCTCTGGCTAAAACTTTTACCACAAACGTCACAGTGAAATGGTTTCTCTCCTGTGTGGACTCGTAGGTGTTTCTTAAAAGGTGACTGATGAATGAATGTTTTACCACAATCTTTGCAGGTAAATGGTTTCCCTTCTGTGTGGAGTTTCATGTGTGAGGTGAGGGACTGCTCATAGACGAATTGTTTACCACATTCAGAGCAACTGAAGGACTTTTTGGCAGTCTTCTGGCTTACATCATTATCTACACTTGCCTCCTGTGCTCTGGTCTCCCTCCAATCAGACTCACTGTCTTCTGAATCTGAATCTGACAAAGGGTCTTGCCAATAATCATTGTCTTCATCAATACTGACTTCAGCCTCAAAACCTTTCTGATCTTCTGTATTTGTTTGTAATGGAGGATTTGGATCTGGTCCCACACGGCCCTCTCCATCAGCTTCTGC